GATATTATTCAGAAACGAGAGTGCAAATGAATTATGTATGTTTATCTAAAACATTCTTTGGTCGGTAATTTTTTATTTAGATGCGTTTTCTACCATCTCAATGTGAATATATACAGAAAAAAAATGAAGAAAAATGACGCACAGAAGGCGAAAAATATGATAAAATGTTATTGGAGTGAGGAATCTCATTGCGCAGCATCGACGTAAAACACAGCACACGAACAATTTATAAACATAGATACATTGGCAGTCACTATGAATACCGTGTTGATGAATGATGAAAAATAAAACTATTATTTGTGAACGGCATCCGATATTAAATCAAAAATAATGAAAATCAGACACACTTCTGATACCGAAATGAGACTCTTATAAGAACTGAACACGAAATGTTTATTGTGAGAGCAAAAACCATGGCAAAATCGCAAAAATTATTATCAATATAGATCGTTTGAATCATTGAACGAGAAAATCAACTGTTTCCAAATGTTGTTATTTTTCAATTACTTTTGCAATTTATAGTTAATACCGTTTGCTTTGACTCTTTTTGAAGTTTGTGCATCATTTGGCAGTTAGATAATAAATATTTCAGAAATTGTTTGACAATGCCATGAGACATCAAAAAATGTTAAAAGTTTGTTAAAGCAATTAACCACAACGCCTCATGGACCGCAAAATACTAAAATTGACATGTGATGCGGATAGAAGACTATGTGACATTGATTCATTGTTAAAACTATACAAATGACTATCAGAGATGGTGATGGAATGTTCTACTGTATATAAGAGCAATCAATGGTTGATATTGTTGAAGATATGAGCTGTTTGGTTTTCACAAATATGTCAGTTTGAAATGTTCGTATTTGAATTTGAAACACAGATGTTGAAGTGGTGAAGAGAAGCGTTTGACCTCAAAAGAGAAAGTTTCTATGCAGGTTAAATGAAACGCGTAAACAGTTGAAATATACATGTTAGTAGATGTTACTTAATAAGTGATTATATCAACAATGAAATGCGGTACGATTCGTGTTTGTTTTATGGGTGTCATATTCAGTGCATAAGAGATGAAACCAGGTGACTGATATGCGGTTTGCGACCATAAATTTCGGCATAACTTCCAGTGTGATGGTGCCGAGTGTTTTTAATTTGGGAATATTCTACGATGGACGATGCTATTTATGTTACTTTGCTTCAAATATGGATTTTTGTTTTGAATTGAAAACTTGTTCTACGAAATTTTAACCAATTGCATAATAATTATGTTTTAATCGAAATTCCAATTTTTGGATAACACACACACACACACAAACACACCATATCTCTGTGTCTGGTGGCGATATATATTATAAATGACAAAAATACAAAGTTAAATCACAACACAACACGACGGAATAATATAAACTGGAATTTCGAGAAAAGTTTAATTAGAGTTTTAATTTTATGCATTACATTTTCGATGAGCAAAAATAAACTTCGAAAAATATGATTCATATTTCTAAAAATAGTTCATGGCCTAAATTAGAAATAATCCCATTCTTCACTTGACGCTGTATTGTTTGCAAGCGGCAGAAATACACTCACAAATTAGTCACAACATAAATAAAACGGAGTTAATATTTTATTCTTGACAACTATATTTTTTTGTTTTGTTTAGTTAATTACCAGAACTAAAATTATTCCAACTAATATCGTTAAGCAACTATTGACGGTTATTTAATTTTGCTCATTTTTAGTACTTAACGAAGCATATTCAGTTGTTTATGGCTAAATTCCAATCTATCTATATAAACCAAATAAAGCTTGCATATATAAAATACAAGCTGCTGTGGTCAATAACTTCATATGTGGTATACACATGTCAGTAAGATTAAATAGATTCCATTTTAACGTAATACGATTGCGTAAATATTTCATGTTCGAAATGGATTAAAACCAATTTTAATTAAATTTCTTCAAGAAAGTATGGTAGAGTAAACCATATTTGAAATCGTTACAGTATAATATTTATCAAAATTTTGTCAGTTGTATAGAAATGGGTTAGTTCTGAGGGGTGTTATTTTTGCAAATTGTTTAACGCACATGAAAGATGGCCCAAGCAGTAAATCAGACCGAATTTAAGTCGATTCTAAGTAAATTATCGGAAATCGACGAAAATTCGACCAAGTTTGCTGTTAGAAAGCAAGTGAATTCCTCGTTCTTATCTTATTTGTAACCTGCAAAGAAATGCTGATTTTTTTTCGGGGATAATCCCAAACAAATTTAAATTAATTATCAATGAGTGATTAAAATAAGCAGAACATTTGTTGCGAATGATTAAGCAAGAATCGATTAAGCAAGAAACACTATCGGGATGCACGGTTAATAATATGAATAAAAATGCAAAAATGAAAAGGATTCATTAATGTTAAATATTACATTTAAAGTTACATTATGAAACATCAGTAAAATTAAATCAAAGCACGTTTTTCACGTTATTTCAAACCAAAGTAGAATATGTAAATTTTGAATCTAAAAATAGAACAAAAGTGTGCTAAATGTATAACCAAAAATGCATACGAAAATCAATAAAGACAATGTAAAATGGAATGAAATGGAGACGTTCCAAATTAATAAGCAGTAACAACCGAAAATAATGGATAATAGATTGAATAACATGCATATTACATTCATCGCGTGGCAATGCTAAATAGATAGTGCAATGAATCGTCTTTGTTTCTTTAATGCGAAGATTATATTGCATTATTTTCATAGTCTGCATAGTAAGACCACTCGATGTGATGTCCAATATCTTGTAAAATGGATTTTAAACTAAAAGTACTAGTAATTGTTTCAGTATTTTCTTTACAAATTATGCTTCCAAACAAATTATGAAAAAAAAAATCTTTCAAATTTCAAAAAGTTTTTTTCATCTTTCGTAGACTGAACAAACGAACTCATTAATATGGCCAAATGTAATATATTTTAGATTTTCGAAGAAACAGTTTTTGATGCAAGTTTAACTTAATGCGTAAAGAAGAACATGTAGTAATTGAATCATGCATCGATTTCTTATACCAACTGTCTTCAACACATTAAAAACAAAACTTTTTTTTACAACATTTTCTGTTTTTTTTTTTTTAAATTAGTTCCAATTGAGCCAAATAAATTTCAATATACGATGAATCCAAATAAGGTACGAATCATCGATAGTCATATACGGAAAAAGTTGAGAAGTTCATACCATAGCGTGGTTTCTTGACATGTTGAAAATCAAAGATTTATAAAATATTTATAGAAGATTTGCAGAGCTGCTATTAGAAAGCGTAAGAGGACTGGTGCCGCACCTGAATACAAGAAAAAACAGCAATTACAAGAAAAGTGTACGCTCCGCGGTATTCATACCAGCTCTGAAATTTTGAGTGAAAAAAATCTTTGTAAAGCCAATGTATCGGAGAAAATAGAAATTCCAGGAGAACTGCGGTTATTGATGAAAAACATCGTATTTACATGCGTTCAAAAAAAAGTGTTGTTACTTTTTTTTGTCGTCCCATCAATAGCTTCAGTTTTTCTCTCTGAATTTTATATTTATTCTAAGGCATTCGAAATGAAGAAAAGATTTAAGTAGCCATAATGCATATATATTCGGTTTGGTAATGAATATGGACTTCCATTATATATTATGTAATATCGCCTATGTACAAAAAGATGTTTCAAATTAAATAAAATTGGTCCATTATCATGTTCATTCGTATGCTATAAATTTCATCATGCTAACCATTAACACATAGATAGAGTGAAGTGCAATAAGATGACGACTCACTTTTGTTGTCCAATGACGAGCATCCATGATCGAAAATTGCGGCGGCGTTCGTCATCCAAAATGTATTAATTATATCCCACGTTCGATAAGAAATATAATTTCTTCATTGATTACAATTTATACGCCCACATAATATTTGATAAAAGTTTTTAATGCCATTTACTATTATTTGCAAAACAGTAAAGTCGGCTTACACTGTTCGTTTTTCATCCATGCACTGAATTTTATTACATCATCTGAACAAACGTCTGATTGTATATCTATGATTTGCACTAAATTTTGTAACTGACTAAATGAACGATGGTGTTGAACATATGGCACTATGTTAACAGAATATTATATTTAACTCGGAGCATTGATTAACTTTTAATGTAATTCTCAGTACTTGTCTTGGTATTTGCTCTGAATTTTCGCTATAAAACTTTGGTAATTTTTTTATGTTATACTGTAACGATTCCATTTCCTGTTAAATTAAATTTCGGCAAATGAATTTTCACTATTGAATGGATTCAGTTTTTGGGATCCAAGTGAACAAAATAGAACAGTGAAATTGGAATGGAATTTAAGCAAGCAAAAAAAAAAAAAAGACAGAGATATTTTCAATTTTCAAGTTTATAAAAGTGATTTGCAAAAAATCCGAACTTTTTTCGGTTTGTTAAATCAATAAATAAACAAAATGAATCGTTATTCAGCCATCGTTCAAAAACGTGTAAAATCGCCGACAGCCAACTGAATTTCCATCCAACACAGTTGCACAACAAAAAACACCGAGTGATATGCATACAGTACATTGTACTGAGTACACCGCTCCCAATTATCAGAGCATCAACAATTGAATTAAATTTTAAAATTGTTACATTGAAAACAAACAATGAATTCACTGACAATTATCCCATATTCATGAATATTTGATTGATATTCTGGGTCTAGCCTCATACTTTATTCATGTGTGTGTGTATTCGGATACAAACCTATTCATTCATGTAAATGACCAACAACATAATCTCTTCTTTTCACACATACACAACATGGTTATCAAGTCCTATTCATTATTTCTGTGAACACTTTTCAATCAATTTACATAGCTTTTCTTCGTGGGATTTGTATCAAATTAATTCTGTCAACAGCTATCATTCTAATCAGCCTAATGTGGAAAATAGTTTAGATTTTTCTTTTTTTGAGCCAAAGTTGTAATACTCACATTTTTTGTATCTACTTCACTTCAATTTACGAGATGCACCGATATCAATATATCAACGATTAGCCAGATTACGTTGATTTCTTTTTATTAGCAACTCATAGATGTCCATATGGTGTTCCCATAAGCGTGGTTGGTCGGTGGTTATTTTTCGTAGTCAGATTATCGGAACACTGCGTTGAAACAACATCAAAATGCTACGACCGATTTCACTGTTGAAAAGAGAGAAAAAAATAGATATAAGAAATTAAAAAATATACACATTATAGTTTTATGAAATGATGGAATGATGCTATTAACTCATAAAATCATCGGTGTTGAAACAATAGTTGATTCAAAATTATTGCCATAAGATATAAAAATCGAATCTTTCTTTACATTTGATATCACGTTAAGTCTGCGTGGTTATTGCTTTTTTGTCGCGTCACAAATCGTGACCATCAATAAATTCAACGAAAATGGATGCAAATTTAATATCGTATCAAGAATGTTCCACATCATGTTCAACCAAATTATTAGATAGAAAAATCACGATCACAGTTCTGTTGGCTCGAATCATTCGATAGCTATTCTCAGTTAGTACAATGCATGTATATCAATATTAAAAAAAGGTTTAAGACAATTTTCAAGCGAATGCCATACCCAAATGTTGAAAGAATCAGTAGATTCTTTGTCGCTTCCATCAGATTAGATAATATGCACTCAAGTCAAAGGAAATGTTAAAATTCTTGTTGGTCTGGATTTTCTAATTAACATTATATTGATAAGATTTGTTTCAATCAGTCATTTTGGGATAGGTGCTATAAAAAAGCCACCCATAAAATTCACCAAAAGATGTAAAAAAGGAGACACTCGACTCAAACCATAAAAGTATATTTTTTTCTTCTCACTTCAGAGAATGTTGGTTACCATCTTCGTTTCTATTCTTTTTTTTTGGTTTCGTTAAATTTGCTCATGTTTTTAATAAGCGCTACGACAAAAGAAAAACTCAAAGAAAAAAAAAGAGCCAGAAAGTTCTATTGTGATTTCAAATCAACCCGTATATATTATGTCAATTGTAGCATGTGGAAGAAATTCTGAATGAATCGATAAATCAATAAATAAACTAGTATGTATTCACATTCAGCAATAAATTTGAGCATATTTGTATTTGTTTGTGGACGCTTGTTTAGTTTGTATGTGAGTCTGTATGTATGTAAGCTGGTTTTATTATTCGTTGTCGATCAAACATTGTTCAATTGATCGTTTGCTTTGAGCTTATTCTCAAACAATCAATCGACCAATTAATTTCCCAATCGAATTTATTGTGAATACATATTAAAATTTCTGAACAATTGGGAATTCGATGCGCATTTTGAATTTTGATCGAAACCCCAGAATAGAGTATGCACTTCAGACTTATACCGAAAGACAGTGAATTTCATTAGGTCTATAAATTTCTAAAGGAAGTTGAATATAGTTCGAAGACCTTATTTACTAAAAAGGACTTTTGCTTTTTGCAAAAGGTCACACACAGAGTTACGTGATGTGAAATATATTTAGGTTTTGCTCTCCACTTTATTCCATGCACATTCATTACTTAAAGAAGAGTGTATAGTTTTGTTCGCGGTTTTTCATGGTATTCATAAGAGCAAAAGAGATTAGATTCTTCAACAAAGTTGAAGTACTTTTCAACTCTCCGACTCTTCAACTTGATGAAAATACGAATTTGCTGGTCTCTTATCAGTGATGCAAAAAATACGGATAAACATACTTTCCGTTTTTGTAAATTTAAGAGCAACCACCGTACCCGTACTGAAGTATTGAGCAATTTTTTTAATTTATTTTCTAGTATCTTTGAGCATAGTTTTGGAGTGACCGTGAAGGCATAATTTGTGTTTAAAAGTATACCACCTCAAAAGTTGAATACCTGAGCTCTTTGTGAAAATATTAAAAATTATGCTTTCAAATTGTGTTGTACATCCGAAAATGTGTTGTATCCGATTCAACTGTGTTGCGAGAGTTGATGTTAAACGAAGCAATTAATAGGCTCTGCCAATACGAATCAAGAAGAGTCAAAACGGACGGAAAAAATTAGATGTAGCGGAAAGCAAAATGACTAAATTTCATTCGTTAAATTTGTATAAGTTGTCCCAGGTTGTCGTGTTGTGTACAAAGGTGTATCTGTTAAATAGCATTAGAAGCTCCCTCAAGCTAAAAATGTTTTCTGATTCTTGTTATTTTTATTGTTATTGTTGCCATCTCATGTTACTTTCATGAGTTTTCGTTTGGTGCGAATTATATGAGTTTCACTTCACTATCAATGCGGTTCAATGTACGCAATTTTAAACGTACACCCCAATGTACACGCGTGTGTAAGACAGTAAATTAATGCAAATTATTCTTATTTCCATTTTATATTTTATTTACAATACAACACGAACGAACTCGTATTTCTCGCAACACATTGTACAGTTGTTTTCTTAAAGCGATTTGCATTTTGAACGAGGCAAATCAAGAGAGAGAGAGAGAGAAAAAAAACACGAAACCAATACGCGCTGTTTTGTCTGCTGGAAAATAACAATTTTATGGCTGTGACATGCAATACACGCCAGTTAATTTATTGAAAAAAAGGGGTGCTTTACCTTTCACATTTAACTGCCATACGGATTTTATATGATTGACAAACATTTGCATTTGATAAATATAAAAGTTCTGGTCACACACAGCGAATGCCATCAAAAATTAACATAATAATGATGACAATTGACGAATTCACAGTGAAAATTATATGCATATCCATATATGGACAGAAAGTTAATTAAACAATTTTTAGTTGTTAAGATAAATTCGCTAAAATATGCTTGAAAATCTATTCATGTGCATGTCATTCATTTTAATCCGGTTGGATTGAAGCTTTCGCTCGAAATTGATCAAAACCATTCAGTTTGAATTGAAAATGGTTACCATTAATTGTAACGTTAAACTTGCATATCGCACCATTGCATTATGTCAGCGAGTTATTTTCTTCTCTCCATTCATTCTATCGTTTTTGTTTATTTTTCCTCGAGTGGCAAAAATCATTGAAGCAACCATTTTTATTGTTGTGTGTCGCATCGTTGGTCGCTCACCATTTTTGCACCCTCGCATTGAATTTATTTCATGGCGTTCATTTTCTCTCTCTCTCTCTCTCTCTCTCTCTTTTCTTCTTCTACTTTCATTCAGAAATGTGTATTGTGTATACATAAGGGGAGAGTTAAATACACAATATAAGAAGCAGTATTCTTTGGTTTCGGCCAAACGTTTTCTGCAACAGAAGTACCAATGCTCTTCGTGGTTTCGGATTTCATGGTAAATTGAATGAATTCTCCTATAATAAATCAACAATAAATTATTCCGTTGTGTTTTTACACAATGTATATTTTAGTATGTTTATTCCAATCTACGCAATAGTCTAGAAAATACGTATAATATACAATGTATGCACTCTGGCTCGTTCAATTTAAATGAGCTCAAGCTTTTATATTTTCATATGGGAACCTCTTCGGTGAATTGCAGATTTTAGTATTCATTGTGTTGAAAAAAAAGTGCCCAAATTCATTTAAGTTCATTCTTTAGTCAAAGTAAAAAATGCACAAAAAAGAGAAATTGTTAGAAACATAAAAACAACACCAAAAAAAACTTAACCTTGAAGAATTAAAAACTTTAAATTATTGATTGTTTTAAATATTCTGCTTGAAATGCATAGATACGGAATTTAATTTTTATTTCTACTTTCACTAAAAAATATTTTCAAACAAGTGATGAAAGTTCAAACACCGACAGACTTTCACCGAAACATTGTAATCATCGTCACCGTTATTTTGTCGCTGCATTTTTGGCCGGCAATAAATTTTCTGGTGTAGAAAAATGTAGCAAAAGTTGTCGTTAATGGAACTTGCGAAAAACTGAATTATAAGTAGGGGAAAGAAAATCGTGATGAAGAAAAAGAAAAAAAAAGAAGATCGATGCAAGAGGCATTTTTCACCCTTGAAAAGGTAGACGATGTTTCCCAAGCATCTCTCCACTCTAATCAATAATTCTACTTATTCTACTTATATTCCGCAAGGAATGATTTATATCGTGCACCCTACAGCACGCATATTTACAATGGCACGCACATATATTTTGTGGTTTTTGTCCTGTGTACGATGCGATATTACGAGGTGAAAAGACGAAAAACTCAGACAAAAGGATAAAAACGAATCTTTCATCCCCAAGTAAAATATTGGTTATTTTGTGCATGAAATGTTCAATGTTTCGTTGTAGTCAATTGTATACATAAAGTAAGACGAAGTGCCATAAAGAAAGTGTAAGGAAACACAAGCTATATTCACTATACGTGTTGAAAAAAAAAAACATCAGTTTTACTCATGGCATAGAGTCTCCATACGAATGGCATACAATAAATCTTCACAAATATATAAATTTCTCGAAAATGGCTATACTCGATCTCATGACAATCAAACGAGTGCAGTAAATAAGAACGGTTTGCCTTTCACAGCTCCATTTTTCGAATTGTCTCTATTGGAATTGGTGAGAATTTTGTATCGATATCAAGTGATCGCATGCGACTACAAAATTGAATGAGAAAAAAAAGTGAAAAGAGAGAGAGATAACATTCAGTCAGCAGCACGACAAATAGTTTGATATGAAATTCAAAATCGTTCAAAGACACAATACAAAAGGCGACAAATGATACAATCCATCCTTACCATACACAATTGACTCTTCAAATAAATGACACAAATGTTTGTACATGAAAATCATTTGCTTGATTCGAAGTAATTGAACGGCGTGACAAGAAATTGTAAAATGAAAATGGTATTAGGAATGAAATTTGATTTTATTTCGAGTTAGGAGAAATAGATGGGAATTGAGAATGTCACAAACCAACAAAATCGCTTGAATAAATCAATCACATCATTGTTTATACACACTATTCGAAATATTTTCACTTGCTCACCATTTTTCGGAGCTAATATTGCAATGGAATGCAAGTTTTTGCCAAGTAATGCCATGCCGTTGCACCATTTTCATTCTGAATGGCGAGCACTTGTACATTCGATATTACCATCATATTATCACGAACTTTTGACATTGAATTTCACTTAGGTTTTACTTACATTTTACTTAGGACTTAAAGCAGAGGAATATTTTGTTGTTTGCTGAAAATTCCACTCAACAAAGTAGTGCACTTTTGGAAGAGATTTTTCGTGTTTGTTTTGCGAAAAAAAAGAAACGAAGTTTTATTTGCCGAAAAGTTTCTAGTATTTTCGTTTTTAAAAAAAAAATGTTCTGAATTAATGTTTAAGTTTTGGTAAAGGGCGTACCTCGTACGATTGCATCAATGGCTATTAGTTTAATTAATTTGATTTTTCATGATTCGGAAAACTTAGAAAAATCTCCACCCGCATTCAAATTTAAATACATTTCAAAAATATAATCCGTTATCTGAATTGACAGGATAATTTAAATTGGTGTTATCTTTCACTCTGAAGCATCCATCGTGTGAAATGCGCTCAAATGTCTGTCTCAAAACCATTAACAAAAGTTTTACAAAGATAAATTTATCCGGAGTAAGTGAATGAGTGATTCTTCTAAGAATTGGAAATGAATTGCGAAAGTGTGAAATGCGTAGTTAGATTTGCAATAATCAAATTAGCACGTTGAAAATTTAATTTTGAATTTACAACATAAAATGATGGAATGAATATTACAAATATTAGTAAATGTGTTGAGTACATCCCGGGATGTTCGCATAATGTCAAGATGAAGCAAGTTTGTGAAAAGAAATAGAGAAATTTATATATATATAGAACATCAGGTGCAAAAGAAACCTTTTGACTAATCCAAAGAGAAGCCAGACTTATCGACGACGACGAATGGCAGCGCGCTCTTCAGCGATACAAAAGCGATGCGAATTCACGCGAAGCAAATCAAAATATAAATTGAATTAGGAAAATTTAAGCTTATAAGCAAATTTAATGATTTCAATTTATTCTATTCCGATGCGATGTGCTTTTTCAGTTAATGCAGTGCTTTTAAGTTTTCCGGAAATAATGCCTCTAGAATATGAAGCGACATTTATTAAATTTTCATGGAACAACATTTTTCATTAGATAAATATTTGTTGGCACTCATTAGTCAACACGCACACACATACATGGGCGCAGTAAATATTTGCATGAGCTCTGACAGTGTTCATGTTGATTGTCATATTTGACATTACCACTGACCCCATTTCTACGGTATATTGTCATTTTAAAATGCTTTATCTTTATTGAGTTACCATTTAAACATATATGCGGCCACCTTAACGTTTAGATACGTGTTTTATCGCAAAGTGATTGCGGTAGTCGCTTTTTCACTCTTTTGACAACATACGGCAATTTACATTTTAATTTTGCATTTCTAACATTGTTTACTCCCTTTTTTTCGTTTAACCATTTTCAAAGCTGTTCAAGGGTTAGACAAAGCTAATATTAAAAAAAAAAAAAAAAAAAAAAAATCAAATTGCCGACATGTCAAGCATGACCATTATGTTAAGCCACAAGCGGTTTGCTCGTGAAGAGGAAAACATGAACATGATTTTAAAAATTAGTTATCGCTTGGTCTTCACTTTATTTTATCTTCACTAATTTTTTGCTCCACATTAATCGACTAATGGCTGGACTACAAATCCATTCAATAGTAAAATTATAAATTCAGATGTTGTTTCAACTGTTTGAAATTTCTTATTCTATTATAATATGTATGATAAGAATTACCGATATTAATGAATATTGCTTTGAATATCCTAATCTAGATTTGGCTCGCAAAAATCTGAAAAAGAAAAGAAAAAATGTAAAAATTATTATACATGTATTGATGAGAAGAAAAATCGCATGAAGGATCAGATCTATATCTCTTACAGAAATTTTCATGAGCAAGAGCAGTAGTGAACCTTCTCAAATATGTCAAAAATAATGAGATAGCTGATAAAGTAAAATTATCTGTAATTATAATACTGATTAAGAATAAAACTGATTATTACTCCATTTATTATTACTTGAAAAATTCAAATAAAATGTTGAATCCAAATTGAGGAAACTCATTAGTCAATCACTAATAGTGATACGAAGTTTTTCAGACGTTTATCCACCATAGTTTTTAGTATATTTGGCAAATGCTATTTGCTTACGCTTTTTTTTGGAAATTTCATTGTATTTCCCGAAAAAAAAATCGGTCGAATTCTTTGGGCGTGTTTGATTAAAAATATGTATTCGAATGACATACTAAAACTGAGAATGGTCAAATACATGCCCGTTCTTCGAAAAAAAAAAACATCTTGTCGATTGCCTTTGGCGCTGCAGTTGTATTTTATTGATCCAACAGATAAAGACCTAGCATGAAGCATAGATTTTATTGTTCCCATTATTTATGAGGTTAAATGTATTGGAATTAATAATATACTTCAGAAAGTGTTCCATCGTTTTCATGCTTACATTTGGTAAGACTTTACCTATTGAGTTGAATTTCTAACAAACCGGATTTTTTTTTGAGAATCGATATGACAGCACACCGTAATTTTCGATATTTGTGAAGTAAAGATTTCTCATCAATTGTAAGCTAAAACTTTATTGCTTTCGAACACAAATGCCGGCTTGTTGTCGAAGAATATTTTTTTTATTAAATTAAATTCATAAAAATTAGTGAAAAATCATCTCAAGCAGTGTAGTAAAATATGTTCATTCTCATAAGATGACAATGACACTGAATTTGACCAAACACGTAACATTATGAATGAAATCGAATGAAATAATATAAAATACCGATGTCAAAGATGTTTAATACTTTTTTCCTCTCTTCTGCTGGATTCATGCGTTTATCATTTTATTTTTTATTCTCGACTAATTTTACCGTTTCATCAAAGCTGTAAATCATTTTTGATAATTTTTTTATATCAACATTAAATCCATATTTTTATTCGTTTGTTGGACTCTTTTCATTTTCAAGAGTTGTTCTGTTGGTTTCCATTTATTCGAATGTGTTATGTTCTTTTTGAAAAATGATAAATAATAATGTAACATATTCATCATTAAATTGGTTGCTGCGTTTGTATCCATATCGCATTAATGTTTTATGCACCGACAACATAACGCCAAACGTCCATACATTTAATTTGTGTTTTATTCATGGAACATTTCATGTTGAAAATATTCTCCTTCTCTTCTTTTTTTGGCGCTCTGTCTCGAAATTCAATTCGATGGTTAATTTTATTATTAAAAATTCATTGGTTTTTTTAAGTGAATGAAAAACTGCGTACAGAGTATAAATGCGTGGCATTCACTAGATCTATGTGTTATGCAAACAAAACTCTTTGAATATTAATTAACCTTAGACCCCATTTTGGCCAGCTGACATCAGTTTATTCGAGAAAAAAAAGTGTCCCGGTAATTGAAATAAAAAAAAGAACGGAGAAGTATAAGCGGTTGTAAACATTTTTAAATACTCAATAATGCACAAAAGTACAATTTTTTTCTCTCTTAATAACTCTTGTGTACAGTTTTTTTTTTAAAAAAAAACTCAAAAAAAAACTAACGCGGTGTATATATGGAATGATATATATGAAAAATCAATCTATATGGATTGAATGCGAAGAAGAAGAGAATTGATGTTAGTTTCATTGCGTGTTAAAGGTAAATTCCAAAAGACGAATGAATGAATGAATGGAAGAATAAACAAAGAAACAAAGCATGAATAAAATATTATCGTGCTTAGAGAGAAGGTGGAATATATGAACGGATTTTCAGTTGGATGATATAGTAGATTCTTCAGTCAACGTTGTTTATTTAATTACGTTAATATCTCTGGTTTTTTTTTCTTTTTTTATATTCTAATTAAGTTTGGCATTGGTGGAACCAGCAGCAGGCAGCATCGACACTGAATCATCACATTATATCGATGACTATCTTCTTCTTCTTTTTTCATTTTCTTCATTTGATGGAATGCATGGAACCATTAATTTTTTTTTATACGACGACATAAGTTGAGTCACAATAACGCGAGAATGTCGAAATTAGTGACCGTAATTTGTTCTTTTCGCCCAAAATTATTTATCGGTTATAATCAAAATGCACGATTTTGTTATAACGCTGCGCGCTAATCGTTTCTCATGAAAGTATCAAAATGACAACTCGGTGTATACATATTATACTCATTTGATAGGGTATGCAATTAAGAAAATTAGCAACATATTTCTTTAGATCACGTACACCAAATTTGGGACCAATCGCATAGCTTTCATAATTAGATATATAGAGAGTTAAAGAAGCTAATTCAAACATCGATTGGGTGTGGCGGCCTGGTTGCACCTTAAACCAAATCCAAAATTGATTTTGACAACTGTTTCCATCCAATGCGTTGTTTATTCGTTCGAACGAATAGTCGAGTTTTTGCGTATTTCTATTGGAAATTTACGCACAAAATAATGTGAAAACCGAAAATCTGCTATTTGTCTTTATCTTGTACACGCCAGTTTGAAGAAAATGAAAAAAAAAATACAAGTGCCAAATGAAAATCAATTTGTGTGTCAAAAAGACAAGGAAAAAAATATGTAGCGAACAATAACGACGAGCAAAAACAACCAATTTTGGCATGCAATACGATCAAAATTCAAAGACAATAGTTTTGATGTTGATTGTGTTGAAAGTGATTCGTTATGATTATCACTTCATAAAAATTGTGTGATAAAGAAAATCCAGTTATTCAGTTGAGTTGTTTCGAATTTTGCGCAGTTTTTAATGGGCGAACTTAAGCACATGTTTGTTATAATTGAAATAACCATGTGTGACTAAAACAAAGCGTCCAATATGTGCGATTGTACCAGTAGTGCTAATCCACTTTATATGCAACACTCTAAAATACACGACATCAACATTAATATTTGCGCGGATAGAGTGTGGTAATTAGCCAATTTGCGAATCGAATCATATGTAGCTAAGTTTTTGTTAAATTGTGACGATGGTGGAATTCAGTATCAATTTTTCCGAATGAGCATCCATCGTAGAAATGTTGCTAGTAACAAGTGCCAACCTTTGACAGTGGCCCCTGATGTGGAAGCTTCACTTATTGCGCTAGTATATTCATTTCAGATTTTACGACAGCGCAGCAATGCATCTTCAAAACCACGTATAATAGAGTGGTATTTAGATTCAAGCAATTCAAGATAATGGATGTAATTACACATGAGATATTTAATTACCAGTAATTTTCCTTCGCAAGCGTCAGAGTCGTGGGGCATTTATAGAACATTGCAGATCTATGCCATTTATTGGTCGCTTACATATTTGTGTGTATATATAAATGTATATGCGTTTTCGACGATTTTCAATGCACTTGCTGTGATTTAATGTTTAACGTTTAGTGTCATATACCAACTCTATTAGTCGCTGCCGCCAACTGTATATATATACATGTATAGGAACATGAGTGGATGATCACATCAAATGCTTCGTTAGCATTATTTTTCTATTACCAGCTCTCCGTCTCTTCTCGTAACACGTTTTATTCACGTACCAACATGATGAAGGAAAACGGAAGACGATGTTTACATTAAATTAACGACAGAATCATCTCATGTTGCTAATTATAATTGTTTTATACATATACATTTTTTTACGTTCAATTTACTTAATTTTTCGTTTCTTCGAACAAATTCCTTCCTTTATATAATTATTGCCTTAATTTTACTTGTTTAACACTTTGTTCATGGGACATGGTATCATAACGAAAACTGAATATTGAACTTAAACCAACTAAATAATTTTCACAATGTTTACACACAATTTTCTATGCGCATAACTTCTTTTTTTTATTCATAGATGAGACTAAGTAACATCATCACTTCGGATGAGATCATCATTTGAATGCAATAAATATTTATGGTATGTATTATCTTTAGAAAAAGAGAGAACATAGAATGATTTCTCACTCGACTGTTGGACATTATACGTCGCTGAATTAGAACAAATGTAAATGAAACACACCAACTATGGAATGTGATGAGAATAAACAATTTATACAGTATACAGCAACCCATTGATTTTATTTAAATCTCCTGGTTAGTGGAATATTTATTTTGCTCAAGCTTCAACGATATGAATTCACCTTACGGCAAATATATATTCACATGACGATCTTTCTGATTTCGTTCATCGGTTTTTGCTCATTTTTTTCTTTACACTGAAGCAAATGCGGTTTGCAAAAAGTTCGGTCTAAGGTTAGAAATTCATTTCGAAATTTTTCTCTTTTTTTGGATCTTCATTCAAATTCAGATTGAAATAATTACAGTCGAATTGTGGTCAGATGGAACCATCGTAATAATTCGTTTGTTTCAATTTGAAAGAAATGTTGTATAAAACAAATATATTCTTTTTTTAGTTGTGACAATGAATGATGAACGAGTACAATACATTTTATTTGTTGACGGCCCTGCTTGCACCTAGATATGAAAAAAGATTTTATTTTTTTTTATTATATCAAGGTTTTTGCCGCGATGTTATATTATATGTGAGAAAAAGTTTCGTATCTAACATAAATCAAATGATGTAAGCAATATTTAAGAGAAAAAATTTGTAATACGAGTAAGAGATGTTTGCTTATGAAGCAAAATATTTCGTAATATGAACTATGAATTTGTAAACAAGAACTTAATTTGTAATTGAAACGTAAGCCATTTCGTATTGTTCAAACGTATTTGATTGTTGAGTGCAAAATTAATGTAAGAAATGAAGTGAAATTTTGCGTTGAAATGAAGGTCAATATTTGGATTGTTTTTTTTTTTTTTCTTCTTCTCTCGTTTAAATGGATCAGGACCATTTGAAATCGCTGTGAATATTCATTGCGAGCATAAATAAAAGTGCTCTAAATTATATGTTCACATACATTTTCGAAAATAATGGACACAATGTTCGTTCGTTTCGGGTATTTCTTTTTTTTTATCAAATGGAAATTATAATGAAATGGTACATGCACGCAAACAAATAAAAATCTACAATAAATAAAGAGCCCGATATGTAAATACTCAGCAGCTACGTGCGGGGTCATAAAATCTTTATTACTCTCGCCTTAGTGCATGCACGATTGCTACAAATAACACCACAATGGAAATTAACATTGAGTGTGCTTCGAATTCAAAGTATGTCGCGGAGAGAGAGAGAGAGAGAAAGATAAAAAAATGAGCATATGCGATGTAAAAATTCAGCTAACTTAACTATGCAGAAGTCACCGTGGGACATTGGACTCCAATCGGAAATGAGAAAAATCAAATTAAATCAAGAAACCATATTTCTTCAGTAAAAACCCATAAATTAGCGAATATTCTAGCTGTTGTTGCTTTATAGTTGAACCAGAAATTTATTTTGATGGATTTTGGAATTGAAAAAGAGCAAATCATTGCATGCAGCTGATAGTAAAAAAACAAATGGTTCGATTTTCAATATACATTGAAGGCCCCGTTGGTATTGTTCGTGTGTTATTGTTTTTATTGTTATGTATTTGCTAGAGCAAAACTACATAACAACAAGATTTTTGACTAAGATAACAGTCACCGTTATATGCAATTTTATGTACTTGTACACAATTATAAATCGGTATTTTTTCGCTGGAAATTAGTTATATTGTTCGCAAACTTGAAAACTTGAAGCAAATCATTATTCTTATTGAACAATTTAGCACAGAGCAAAGTAGGCCATTAAGCTGATGGTGTTGACATTTTGCTTTTCAATGTTTACATTTAATTTTGTTTGGTTGTAAGCTCATTAAACTTGTACTGTGTTACGTCAATGATGGAGCTCCGGTTATTTGAATGTGCCTCTTCATCAGAAGCACCAAAAATTGTTGTTTGCCTCTAATGGAAATTAATGTAAATATTTGCATGAGTATAACTTTAAAATTTTCGTTGCATTTAAATACTCTGTCAAACCTTCTAGTTTGTTAGATTCTTGCGGTATTGACTGGCATACAAAATGTATTGTGCCACACAGAACCTTGAAAATATCATAACTTTTCATCGACTGTTGAATTATGCTGAATTTGTTGAAATTAAAAATTCACCGAAGATAAAATAAAAAGTATTTTACGACAGGTTTTACTAAATTTAAGACCGAACATGATTATAAATATATTATAAACTCATAATACAGCGCGAATCTCTTTTGTTTTCAATAGATCTATTGGCGGTGATGTAAGTGCATGATGTTTCATCATACACAAAATAGATTGTGTTCGTTTCGAGTTTCTCAAAGCGACACAAGAAATTCATAAACAACAACTGCACTGTGAAGGTGATGTGAATGGAGTAAAATAAAGTGCAAATGTTTATATATATGTACGGTACACATTCAAGCTTGATTTTTGATTACAGCATTTTCTTCGCAACAAATTACTCTACAATGATTTAGCGAATACTTCACAATCGTTCTCTCACTCTCTTTCCGAAAATATTGAATAGAATACCAACATTTCGAAATTTATCCACCAATTAGCGCTTATCTATGTTTTGTTTCTGGTTCTTTTGTAGAACCGTATAACATACAAGCATTTCGTTGACGATGCAATTTCTTTTCAGTTCACACCTGAATGAATATTCCACACCACCAATGAATGTTCTAATTTTTTCAACAAAACCAAAAAAATGTATAATGAAAGTTCGAATCAAATGGCATTGCACGCCTCAAATGAACACCAAACGATCGACATGAGAATGTGATAAAACAACACGACTATCGTCGGACCATGAGAATTGGATGCAATGTATATTATTTTAACACGAAATGTTTGCACACCGAAAACCGGCTCACACTGATCTGGCCGAATAAGCAAAGGAAAAACGTAAATTATAACAAAATCGTGTTCCATTGATTTACGTATACATTAAAATCGAGCTAAGGCAAACCAAGAAATTGCTTGTTGTGTCGTGAATAACAAGTGTCTTCGTAACTCAGCGAAAATTCTACGTGTGTGTGTGTGTGTGAGTGTGTGATTTTGTTCTCTATATATATTATACGGCATATAAACAAAACACTCAAATGCTAGATGTTTGCCGCGGCGTCCACTTTGTTTACTTTAACGCTTTCGTATTTTTTAAAGGTTTTCGAATTACCCTTTCCCACTTCATTCTCACTGAAAATGAACCATTTTATCTCAAAATTCAAGAACTACACATATATAGTGCATACGCCGTATATACGAAAATGGTTTGAAACAAAATCTAAAGAAAAGCAAAAAAAAAAATAAAATAAAGTAAGAAAATAAGATCATAATCAGTTTGATCGAAACGTGTGTAATGGTTTGTTCATTTAAATATGTATGGCGCGTTTTAATGTGTGATCTCAGTACATAAGCCAACCGCATTTTAAATATGTAACTTTAGCGTAGGTCTGTACTTTTGTTTTATTAAATTGCTTGAGTTGTGATAAAATTAATAATTTCACATTCTTCAGTTTGTTTAACAAATTTCGTTTTTTTTTCTTCATTCGTTATGAAAATTTCGCGCGATTCTAAACTAACTTACATATGTGTAAGCGTTTGCCATGACAATTGCCATAAATCAATGACAAGGTTTTTGTGGACTGGCCTTTTTAAAACCAAATATGGACTGGCTCTTGTGTGATATTAGTTTTTTTCGTTTTACGTTTCACTCGAAATTCTCAATTTTGCTTTTCATAGTTTAAATTCTTTGTTCAAAAGTACAACACCATACTTTAACGGATTGAATGGCCGTATTAGAGTTACCGGAAATTAATTAAAAATGAATGAATTTTTTCGTTTTGCCCTTCTACATTCAGAGGAAGCAATGAAGTGGATCATTTCATTTAATCGCATTTGTTATTTGATTGGAAAAGTTTGAGTATTGTGCAGAAAATTGGAAAAAAACGCATTCGAAGGCATTATTGAATAGCTAAATAACGGCAAACTCTGAAAATTGCTTCAATCACTTTTGATAATGTTAAAATTTTGAAAATCGAAGCGCACCATTATCAGTTTGCACGAACATTTTGGCAAATTATTAAATTGTGGCTATTTGCACTCTATTTGACTATATCGTTTTTATTTAATTGAGTTTCCGGTTAATAACACATTATATCTATATATGCACTAAAAGCAAGTGGCATCTTTTAAAATTGCATCGCTATCGTTTTGGGAAAATATTCAAAATTGCTTTTCGTGTGATGCGACGAATATTTCGGCCATCGAAAAGAGACAAACAAAAAAAAACATAATCTCATCTCAAGCGGTGGTTTCCAGATGGTCAGAAGATTTTCGGTTCATTGTTAAAAATGCAAATAGGTAATATGGCCATTTTCCCAGAATTATAATAAAATAAAAATAAACGTAAATTTGTACAAAATTCATGAATTGCAACACATTGTAATATAGTCAACACATAATTATTTGAATACAAGCTAATCATTATATGCGAAAGGCGAGAATATTTAAAATAAAAAAACAAATGTTCCGTATTCAGTTTTTCGTTTTAGTTCGGTGTAATTTTTATCAGTCGAATTCATTTGGTATTGACGCATGGGTCATCAAACTATTTTCATGAGGTGCCCATTAATCATATATAAATGGATCAAATAGGATTTACGTCGCCATACCGTCGACATCATCACAAATCGATGATAACGCACACTCGTACTCGTACAACGTCACCAAATGCTTCGGACTAATGCGATGGAATTAAGAGAGAAATACGTTCGTTTATGACTCACATGGATCGGTATAATCTACGGTATCAACATCGGAATGGCCATTTGTACTGGATCATCGATATTATTTATAGAAACCAAAGACATCATACATGATTATGCAGATTCGAGATGATTTTTTTTTTTGGTTCGTTCACAGAAGGTGTTTCATATGCTCTCGCAATCACAATCATTTTCACAACAATTTAATTTTTACGATTCTCCAGAGCTTCTAAAGAGAAGATTTGGTTACTGTTTTGGAATAAAAAACGAGACATTTTCTCCGTATATGAAACGTTGAACCATTCAAGCGTTGATATGGAATACTACAATCTGTTTTTTATATATAATAATAATTTACCATAAGATATGTAGTATGCTTGACACTTAAGCGCAATGTATTTTGAATGGAAGCAAGCTGACATTTTATTAAACATGAGTCGCATCGAAAGTTATTCGAAATCTTCGGAAAAAATTCAATTCAAACTCGAATCGAGTGTTTTGGCTTAACGAAAATCAGAGAAATATTCAGTGGAATTTCGATGGAACAAAACTGAAAACATTATCACTTTTCTGATTGTAACATTTGTGTGTAAATGTGATGTCTAATTACCCGTTGGACAGGGATTCATGAAATTCTAATCAACATGTGCCATTCAGAAAATCCATATATTGTTGGATGGTCTTTGTTTGAGCACCAAATTCCAAATTAAAATGGACAAAATGACCAAACAAAAAGAATTATTAACAAACTTACCGTAATCCCATTAGAAGAGCAGCAACTGTGAGACGACGACACAAGAGAGACACAAATATTGAAGCGACTGCGAGAATATATCGCTGGACCAATTCAAGAGTTGATATGGATTGCAATCAACACTTGGTCACGTATTAATAAAGCATCAATTCTGGCACGCGCGTGTTTCAAATGAAATGGCGTAACACTATTGCTTACTACATCAACTCTCTTTTGGTGATGCACGTTTTTTTCTATATATATATATATATCTGTTTAGTATGCAAGCTGTTGAATTTTGTTCCTTTTGCCTTTCTCTTTTTTTCCCGAAATTTCTTCAAATTTTTTCTCCACTGTCTTTTGCTCTCGAAATTTTCCCTTTCGATTTCTTTATTTTCACGTATTGGGAATTAATTTTTCTTTTTTTTCTATTTTTCTGTCTTTCGAAGTTCTTCTTCTTCTTCTCACTACATTTCACTGATCACTGGCTAAGTCGTGTGTCGTTGCATCTAATGAACAAATAATAATTATTATCGAAATATCTTATCTTGGTTGGGATTTCCTAATATTTATCAACATTTTCTTTGGCCTTTTTTCGTTGTTCTAGATTTTTGATTTCGAGAACCCAGCGAACTTTGAAAGTAAGCTAACTTGAAGAACTGAATACGAGTGTGGATAAATTTGAAATGAACACTACATGAGAGATACGAATCGTAAATTTAGCAAACAACCAATATTGCTCAAAACTATTGTTTTAATAGACTTATTAACTTTTGCTGTAGACGGTGGATAGTATTATCATCCACTTAAAATTGATTTTTGTTAATGAACGTTTGTTATCGTTTTGAAATCTTATTGAAAAATAAGTGTTTTTCTTGTGTCGGTCTTTGCACCCGCCAATATAGTTTCAAATATATTTTCATTTAAGCATGTGGAAAATTGGTCTTATTTCTTTGATTTGTTCGCTACGGAAACGCTTTGATAGTTCAATTAACGTATACACACGTTGTTCGTGTGAACATTCGAAGTGTTAAACTCTTTTTAGTCAAACTTTTTTTTTTTTTCTTCTTCTTTTAAGTCAACCAAAATGCTGTGGTATGGTAAAAACTGCTTGTGTGGAAACTTTATGAAAAAGTTTATTTGAAAATTATGCTGGTTTTGAGAAACTTTAAACAAAAGTCCTTTGCTCAAAAATGAACAACAAAATTGAGAAAATTTTTACTTTTGTAATTCATATAGCGTAGCATCTCAAGTTCTTCAAGCTTTTGGAAAAAAAGACCCAAAAAAATTGTTTAGCTGAGTTTTTGAACATTTTCAATTGTCGTCGAATGAATAGAAAATTTACCACGTTTGGTGTACGGATTAATTTCCATTCCAGCTTTTGGCTCATTTATAAAGAATAAATTTTCTTTGAAGTTTCATTCATTGACCACGAAAAAAAAGCCACACTTCGCATATTAAATTAGTTCACATCTTTGTGCATGAGAAGTGTTGGAACGAATGCAATCTGCGTATATCTCGCCAAAAATTATCTGCAAATGAAATGAAATATTAAATGTTAATGTACATTCACATACAAATCAATTCAAATTCAATTCTGAAAAAACTACAAAAACTCACATCCATATATGAAATTCGAAAGAGTATGTGTTTTATGCAACAACAAAAAAAGTATTGCAAAGAGTTTCTGAATGAATTCAGTTTTTTTTATTTTCACACATTTTTTTTTTTCAAATTATAGCAAGTTTTCATTCTCCTTATAAAAGTGCGAGAGAGAGAGAAAAAAAAAACGCTGGAAATTTTGGCATTTGCCGATTCTGTCATCGGATACCATTTTGAACAGCCCTAGTCCATAATGCAAATATAATCAAGAACGCCAATATGGCGTTTTCTATATGGCATTTTGCAATACATATTCGAAGAAATAGGCGACTACAACGTGTTGCATTACATGACGAAAATGGAACCATTTGTTGGATCGCATTCTATATTTATATAATGTTGTTGTTTTTAACCACTGAACCCATTAGAGATTGAAGTATTTTTGGTGAAATTGCCATAAAATTTATTTTTGTTCAACATATTTACCAAACGATGATTTTCTTATCTGTATTTACAAAAATTCGCAAAGCTGTTTATTATGTGTGTTATGGCGATCCCCAGAATGGATGATAGTAATGTACCTTTTATAAAAATGATATCAACATTTACGATTCACTCAATGATAGTGGTTTGCACTCTAGTGTGTAAATGGTTGAAATTGGATATACTTGAAAAAAAAAATAACAACGCCCATGTGTAAAGCGAAAAAAAATGGCAGACAAAAAATGTTGAACTTTAATTATGATATTGAATCAATGCCGATTTTTATTCGAATAAAAATATTAACTACGAAAATACCATAGAGGCGTCTACTAGGCAAATAGGTCATAACATTGATACCAAAGTATGTTATCAACGTGTTTAGGGTACTCGGATTTGTTTCTGAATTCCAGTAAAACATATTCCATTTCAAATTAGTGAGAATTACTCAAATCAAATTTGTTACACATCATTCGCGGTGAACTTGTACAAAAAATGAATCGTGTAATAAGCTATATACTTTTTTTCGTGGATTTAAAAACTTTCATGAATAATTAATATTGCTGACGCATGGCATTGTACAAGCCAGAAATCAAACCGAACAATTGTTATGAAAAAGTTTATCAGTTGATAAGTACCACCGAATTTGCAATAAATCGTATATTTCATTTGTAAGCGGCAAATCGAAATGATCGAATGTTCATTCGGTGGATGGTCGACAATTCAATCACCTCATTCGGCTCGAATCGATTGAAACTGAATTGATTTTATAATTAATATACGTTAAATAGGGGAATCAAGAATGATTGAATAATGCTTGCGAATTACAGCGGAACGATTTCAGAAGCGTTCAATTGTATTATCAACAATCAACTGATAACGTTCATCACAATAATTTATCCATTTCGGTTAAATATTGGAGATGTTTTATCATAATTTCAGAACGGGTGATAAAGTGTTGAAAATTTGCTTTTATGTTATTGTAGAATATTCCATAAAATCATCGTATTTATAGTGTCGTTAATATGACAATTGAATAGTGACTAGTTTGCAAATGATTTCATCGAAACGAAACGCAAACACATTTCTCTAAAAAAAAAAATAAAGAAAAAATACAAAGATTATACTTGTTTATATAATCATTCGCACGAACAAATATGGGTGATAACAAATAAACCGTAAAATCAAAAAAACAGTAACAAATTCGATATCAAACAGTGAAATGTATACAGTCACGGTGTTTGGTGATTTTACGACGAAGTACGTTTATAATCCTTTTTTTTTTCACTTAAAATACAATCAATATAAGCCTCATTTTAGTACCCAGTAATTAAAGAAATTCCATTTCTCATGTGAAGTATCACATATCAGTCAGACACCTTAATATCTTATCTCGTCTCTTTTCCCATTCGCTATATAAAGCACGTACTCATTTATTTGCTGAAAGGCCCCAAAAGCCAAATTTGTTTGCTTTTCGCCCATAGTGTTTCGTTGTTGTTGTGCTTTTCCCTCCACATTCATTACACATTTGCCCTATAAATTACGAACTTCAGCCAAAACTGTAATTATTTTATATTTTCTATTTTAACCTTAGTCCGGACTCCGGAGACTTATGAAAAAAGAGATATGAAATAAGGCAAAAGCATACAACGGAGAAATCAGAGAAAGATTATTATTTAGTCCACGGTGAAAAATGACTTAAAAACTCAATTCGATGCGATTTTGGCCATAATAAATATTCGATGAAAAGAATCCTATAGTTGGTACCCAATAATTTAGTTCGCATTAGTTTTCAACAATACAGAATTGATGCAGCTATAAATGGCAAATTAAATGTTTCATTGCATATTCATATATATAAAAAAAAATCTGTTTGACAATTGGATATAAGCTAACCGAAAGGCAATAAGACAAGCAAATACAATGTATTTCAAAGAATTCAATAATATGCTAGAGATTTGCGTTTTCGCTGATTGAATACATTGGTAATGTTGCTGTTATTATACAACGTCTCGTTATATGAATGAATACCACCGAGAATGCTATAAAAACACAAAGCATCCAGTTAACATTCTACTCGATTAACTTTGTGTAAAGAGAAAAAAACCGGCTTTACGCATAAATTGGAAATTTCATGGAATGTCGCTTTGAAATTCGTTCATAATACTTCTAAATGAAATGAACTTTACAAGCAATTTCAAAATGCGGAAAAACACACACACATTTTGTGTTGGCATTCAGAGGTTAACTATGTTATGGGTTAAAATTGGATTGTATTTGTGAAATCAGTTTCTCTATTATATGGAAAATATTTAAGAAGAAAGAAAAAAAAAAGTTATCATCATAACGGCTTCTTTCATTGTGCATTAAACGTTTTTCCGCATTTTAATTTTGAATTTATTTGCAATATAGATCATTAGTTCACAAATTGTGAACAACAACCAGCCAAAATGGCACAACAGTGCAGAACAACAAATTAACTGTTTTTTTTTTCATTCTCTTTAGATCTGATTCATGCCCATAGCTATTTAGAATATTTGCACGGTTGGTTACATTTAAAATGTCACTCAAAACAGATCAAGTTTTTTGTTTTTTGTTCCATCTCGGTTTGTTGTTCATATCCATGTCCGTGTCAAATCTCAGAGTCGTGCATATTGATTATATTGTTATCATGTTCATTAAATCGTGTACTTGAACCTGAGAAAAGGGTATCCGAATTGTTCATTCGGAGCCCTTGCTCCATTCCAATCAACTAATGTTGAAGTAATTTTAAATGTCAATGAATTTTTGTTTTTCTGTTGTTTCTGTATATCAAATGTCATAGCAACAGAGCACGTTAACAAAAACAGTTGCCAACAAAACTGTCAAAGACATAACCGAATTGAAATTGGTATCAACACATCGAACCGATCATATGGCTGCAATACGATTCCATTCTGAATGAATATTAGTTACAATATATATATATGTACAGGCTGGCATCGTACCATTTAAAAAAGCAATTGCAGACAAGGCAAGGCGTAGTCAACAACAATTTTTTTTGTTCGGTCTGCTGTTGTTGCTGTTGATGTTGATTGCATACACATATATATTTATATATAACACTTTCAATCATTTATTTCAATCATATATAAAAATTGAAAAGTTGTACTAGCTTATAATGATATGATTCGTAATTATAGCAAAGTTTTATGCTACCTTTCATGTAGATTGCACTGGTTTTCTAAATGTTGCTAAAATCATCCAGTTCATATCTCTTTTTTTTTAATTAATCTTCAACTCGTTAAGCATGCCGATTAGCAAATCAAACACCTCATTTGATTCGTCTTTGCAATGAAACACATTATTTTTTCGAAATAAATGTTCGATAACGTTTCTACTGATTCTACTGAAATGTTTGGGTTCCCATACAATTAAAAATGCACAAACTTTTAGTTAAATTTAAATGTTGAATCGCAAACTCATTTTAAAAAAAAAACAATAATTTGTATTTGAATAACATACGAGATGTTTTTTTCTTTAAGATCCACAGTTCCACACACATATGCACACACATTCGATTCGTGTCAACGAATATAAATTTAATAAACAATTCGACGGAAATTACGCCGCGCGTGTAATTTCACATGAGCACGAATACGAAAATAATAAAAAAAACAATCATCCACCTGGACCGATTGCTGTCTCTCTACTGAATCTGTATATAAAATCCGCTTGTGCTGGGCTGTATATTGGTGGCTAACTCACAAAACGCTTCGTATCGCTTTGATACGTAATCGAATCGCTGAAATATATCATACACACAGTGCGCCGTATACACAAGCGATAGACACCGAATTCTAAATGGCTTCCATGTTTGTATATCAGAAGTGCCGAGGCTTACGTATGTATGTATACAACGCGTATGTATGTTTCTCTTTTTTTTTGAGTTCATGATGTCGTTGTCGTTCGCAGTGTGTTGCACGAGTTTTCGATATATGTTTTGCTGCTGTGCGCCATATCAAAATGTATATGCTGTGCTTGTTGTAGTTACTTTATAGCATTGTACCTTGCAAGTTGCATTTTGAATACGCATCTCTTTTGAATGTGTCGCGTGCGTCAATAAAGACCGCGAATCATAAGCGCATGAGAAATAAATCGAACAATACAAATGCAGTGTCAAAAATGAAATGGACCTGACATTTCTATGTGAAGTCATCGTTGGTTTCTTTTTTTGCGAGCAAATACATTTCTTTCAAAATTGCACGTTTATTCAGACGAACTCTTAAATAATCTACATTCAATTCTATTTATCTTCTATTATTTATGTTCAAATGAATCCAAAACAGGAGGAATTTTATTTAAAGACATTTTTCAAAGCGAAAAAAATGTAAAGCTGCAGTTAATTTCTGAGAATATATTCAACTTGGAGATGGTCTTCCTCAATTTCTATCCAATCGAATTGGATTCTTATTAGAATATGATTTAAAAGAAAATAATATGTTTTTTTCAGCTGATTTTCGCGATATGCTCTAACTCGTTGAGCCATAGCCCAAATTCCATTCAAAATATTCCAGTTATACACGAAGTGCTCGTGCAATCGTATCGATGCTGTGCCAACAAACGGCCCAGCGTCGTATGTATTCGTTGGAAGTGTGCAAACCGCATTCACGCCAAGTACGCCATACAGCCAATGTCTGCGCGTTGCTTTTACGAATAAACGTTCCAATGAGGGGAATGTATTGAGCAGATGAGAGTCTCTCAGCACCATGTGTATACATATTCGAATATTTGCCTGACATTCGTACTGTTTTCTTTATTCGGACTGTTTGCTCTCTTTGAATCTCTATTTCTCTTAAAATCGAGAGAAAAATCCATCGCGTTATGAGTACTCACGGCTCACGGCTCAACGCCTGCATATCTTTTTTTTTTGCTCGTCGAAGTTTTAACAACGAATGTCAATAGCTAAATTCATGGCACATCCCATCGTGAAATATGTACTCTAAATGAAGGTCAACTTTTTTGTTTTTACCGCTTAAAAGTATTGCTTTTTCTTCTTCAAAAAAAGACACAAAAACAAACAAACATTTTGGATGGATTTTTGGCCATTGATTTGGTTATTGATTGGTCAGCAGATACTTTGGACATAGTGAAAGGGAATTTATTGGCGTTCTTAGGACGGCGGTAGATTAAAAATCAGCATCTGGAAACATTGTTGAACTTTAAATCGAAATCGAGTCAGTTTTTCTTTCTTCTTATAAGACATTTGTGTCCCTTTAAACGGTTGAAAATCGTTTTATCGAGTCATTCATTTGTCGCAATGATGTTCATGCGCATTTCTAAATCATCATTTTGATGATCTTTTTTTCTTCTTTTACTTAGAATTCATATGCGATGATGCGATCGATTTTCATTTTGATTTCTTTAAAATTATCGAAATCGAAACGTACACAATAATCGGATTTGTTTACTGAGAGCACGCATTCAATATCGATTGATTTATGAAATTGATAAATAAAGATTTTATTAGAAGAGCAGAAAAAGATAGAAAAACAACAATAATAAAACATGCAAAACGTGAATGTATACATGAAAGAATAAAAACTAAATTGATAGCATCATTGATGCCCATCTTCGGTACCATTCGGTGATATATAACAAAAGAGGCGACTTGCCGAAAAGAACAAAAATACAATACACATACAATAAGTTGAGGCAAAGTTTAAATTCATTTAGATTGACTTGGGAACGTTGAATCGTGAGTGCACAATATATGTCCCCCCATGTAACAGTCCAATTCAAATGTTTGACGGATAAAAGATGTATGGAAACAAAAGAAATCACGAATGAAGAAAAAAAAATATGAAAAATAAAACACCAAACTAACATCACAATTCATCAGAAAAAGACGCGTTACGCCAACATCAAACCAACAATTGTTTTCATCACATTTTTCAATACCGTCAAACATTTACCAAAGTCATCGGTCATCACAAGTGATGATATTTAATAGGCTTCTCATTTTTAACGTTTCAAATCAACGATGAAAATGATTCAATTGCTTAAGCAACATTCATTTTTATTTATTATAATTTTTTTTTCTCTTTCTTTTCAAAAAATGTACACATAGTAGCAAAACTCTGTGAGTTTTGTACAGAACAAATGGCTTCTTTCGGTTTTTTTTTTTCTTCTTTTATTTGACTCAATTAGCATTAACGTCGATTAGAGGAGGATGATCAAAAACGGGGACTCAAAATGCGAATTTTCATAAATTTACAATATTAAAAAGAGCCTGAATTTACATCGAAGATGACGCAGACGTTTGTGGAGCTCAGACACCGCTTGTATATTTCTTTTTTTCTTGTAAACCGCTTTTTATCAACCGCCGTGTTTCGGTGATATTTTATTTGATAGCAATAAATGTTGTGATTGGCAAAACATTTTAATTTGATTGCAATAAAATTAAATTCTTGGCCAAAATGAATATTAAAAAAAAAAAAACAGTTCCATTTACATACGGTTAATTTTTTTTGATACTTTGAAGCATTTTCATAATCGTATGAAACGTATTCTTTGCAACGGCCATAAAATTTTATGACGTCCGGTCAAATCACATTTATTCTACGGCGGGCCGTTGTTTGTTTTTTTAATTTAAAAAAAAAATAATAATATTGAAAACACTATTATTTAAAATTACCGACAAATTGAGCAAGAAAAACATCACTTCTTCCAAATGATAATTATTTGACGAATATCAACGAAAACCACAGAAATGTAAATCATTCATTTAAAACGAAATTTGATGAAAGAAACTGCATTAATGCATGAATTCATCATTTTGTTTTCTCTCCTTTCAACATTTGTCTCAATTTCTTTTACAATTCATTCGCATGAAATAATACGATTGATGAAAGAATAAGTGTATTTTTTTAAGGTGCATGCGTATTCATATTTTTTTGTTTTGTTATTAAACAATGACATATGGAATCCAGACTTTTGGATTAAACAAATATATATGTAGTGGGATAGTGGGTAATATAATAAATGAGCATTGGTTAATAACATTGTTGAGTCACCAACCACAGTAATATTCACTCTGATCGCTGACATGGTGTTTACAAAATGTACATGGTTTGCCGTTTGGCCACTATTGATGTAACATCAAGCGAGTGTTTATTTAGTCGCTAATAAGAGGCGGTGAAATCGAATTCAGGTGTAATAGAGAGCTGAAAATGCTGATATATTGCTTCTATTGGCCATACCATTTACATCTAAATTTTCTTGGCTTTTTACATCGGTTTAAATGCTGTGTTGTGCTGCATTTTCGATACCCGCTGCCAACAATGGAATCGCTTTTAAGGATGTGATGTATTCGGGTTCATTTTGAGATCTAAGAAAATGGGATGTTTGAAAATCGACCGAGAACCGGACTATGTTCATTTTATGCACGTAATTTTGTGCATTGTTCTACGTTATCCGCATCTTTGACCCAGATTTGATTACACATCTATTTAAATTCAATTAATTCTTTGACCTCGTTCAAGTGTTGCGGATAGTGTCCTGTAATGAAATAAAAACTCTGAGCAGAAATTGCTTTCTGCTTATTGCTTTTACCTACGTCATACAGCGTAAGACCACACATTTTTTTTTTTGAAATAAGCTAAAAAAACACGTCGTTTTTTTTTCTCAATAAAAATATGAGTGATTGCGAACATTAAGAAAAAATCTGCTTACACAGAAGTACGACTCAATTTGTGGCGCACACCGAATTTGATGTTAATTACTAAAAATGAAAATTTCATTTAAAAGAATATCACGATTATTTCATCTGTTTCTTGATTACGAGAAATTTACACTACAATTTATGCCATAGTCACACACTATGTGGGCAAATCTGAATCCACATTCATTATTTCTCTAAAGTCGGATTTTTTGTCCATTTGTTACCTTTTCAAATGTACTAGAATTTCTTTATATATCGTGAATATATGCATGTGAACCTCACGCGTCGAGGTTATCTTTTTCTCTATTTTCTGTGGCAGTTCAGTTTCATGGAGGAAAAAAAACGGCGGTGAGCATGTGTAAAGAAAAGAGAATTTTACTGGCAAAAAGAATACAAAAAACCCAAATGAAAAACTGTAAAATGGACAAAAAAATTAAATGAAAATGAATTATATATAAATGAAAAGTAGCTATGTGCAATGAGAGAACATTTTATATTGTTGTGTTAACTACAGTAGTTTGGACGAGAGAGAAAAAAAAACACGAAAACCTTGAGACATCATAAAAAACACTCAGCTTGACTTTTATTTACATAAATTCATAAAATCATTTGTAATTTGTGTACAAATATGTTTTCATTTCATAAAATCAATTGGGAATTGAAATACAATTTTGGTCACGTGAACTCTATATCCTAATTTGTTTATGTTCAACAACGGCAACATAAAGTATATTCAATGTTTATTGTATGTAA